CTCATTACATAGGTATAAGCCTCATATTATAGTACTAACACATACATAATTAAACTTAGAACGATTAATTATGCTGCTATATTACGTCGGTGTTCTGTACGAGCGTCGTGCTTTGCTGCCCCGGTCGAGCGGACGGTTCGTACCTCATATGTGCTTGCTACATATGATACTACGAGGGTGGATTGAAAAGTACTCGGCCTAACCAAGAAAATAAACAAATACTAAATCAGTTATATTTTTATTTTTCTACATAATCACCATCAAGTTCAATACACTTTTGCCACCTCCCCTTCCAAGCATTTAGACCGTTGAAAAAAAATGATTATTCCTTAGAGTCAAAATATGCGTCTACAGCTGCTTTGACCTCGTCGTTTGTCGAAAATCTTTGACCTCCCAAGTGCTTTTTTAGGTTAGGGAACAGAAAGAAGTCTGATGGTGCCAGATCAGGTGAATATGGCGGATGCGGTAACAGTTCAAAGCCACAGTTGTGAATTTCAGCCATTGACTGTACTGACGTGTGAACACGGGCGTTATCTTGATGAAACAGGACTTTTCTTCTGAGCATTCCTCGACGTTTTTCTTTTATTTCCTCTCGTAAACGACATAGTAAGGTGCAGTAGTAATCAGAGTTTATATTCTGACCCCTTTCAAGATAATCAATCATAATCACACCTTTCGAGTCCCAGAATACTGAAGTCATCACCTTATTTGCCGACAAAATCGACTTAGCCTTTTTAGGGGGTGGTGAACCAGGTCTTCTCCACTGTTTTGATTGTTGTTTTGTTTCCGGTGTACAGTAATGAACCCATGTTTCGTCCATAGTAACAAAACGATTCAAAAAATCATCTGCATCGGCTTCAAATAACTCCAAACAGTCGCGTGAAATAGTCAATCGCGTCCTTTTTTGTTCAACTAAAAGCAGTCGCGGAACCCACCTCGCAGACACCTTGTGGAAACCCAACTCGTTGACAATGATGTTTTGAGTTCGTTCATAAGAGATGCCTATAATCTCGGCTATCTCTCTAATTTTTAATCTGCGGTCTCCCATTATTAAATCAAGTACTTTTTTAATATTTTCGTCAGTAGTTGACGTCGAAGGCCTTCTAGAGCGGGGTTCATCTTTCACACTCTCTCTACCACGCTTAAATTCTGCTATCCATTTTTTGACGGATGAATATGACAGAGCACAATCGCCTAATGTACTGACCATGTCATCATGGATGGCTTTTGATGATAGCCCCTTCTTATGGAGGTACTTAATGACGGCACGCTGCTCGATTTGCTCCATTCGCGGAAATTATGTCCGATTACTTTGTTAATAAATTTATAAAATCACAACTAATTATCGCACACGTTTCGAACTTCACACAATGAACTAGTCTGAACTGAACTAAATAATGTGCGTAGATTTGATTTTTAGAATTGAATGGATCTGTGTTAGGCCGAGTACTTTTCAATCCATCCTCGTAGTTATATTATCACTGTTTAGGCCCAAACATGGGCATTTGAAACGGCATCCCATCGCGTTTGACTCAGCGCATCACCCGATGGTGTGAGGTGACGTGCGCGCCGCCGGGTGGGGGGGGGGGGGGCGGTATGCCGCTTCCCGGCGTTCGGCCTGGTGGGCTAGCAACAGTAGCTTGACCGCAGAGGCTCTGTCGACTAGTGTATTATTTGCGACCGCTGGATCGATTGCGCGCGGCCAGTTTTGGTTTTGGTGGTCTAGAATTTGAGTAATTGTGCGCGTCTAATTTACTATTGAATATTTGGGATTCGTTTAGACCGCCTCGAATTTGTATTGTCTAAGTTGTACGTTTCGTGACAAGAGGCTTGTATTGAATTTGAATGATTAAAGTAACTTCGTTTGCTAGTAATTTACGGCATTTGCAATTTTTAGTTTGCTTGAGTGGCCTGTTAATATCGTACGAAAGAATCTTAGTTGTTGTGGGGAACGCGCAACTTTGTAACCCGAGAGAAGGTCGCGTTCGGTTTCTAGAAATAATTTGTTGCTAAGTGAAAATGGAAGTTGAACTTTGATCCACCGTTCATTAGTTGTGCCTTGTGTCACGTGTTTGATTAAGATTAACGGGCATTTAGTTCAGATTTAAGTTAATTAAATGTACAATAAAATTGATGGATTCAAATAGTGTACAATAAAGTTGATAAACTGGAAGAGTGAAATGAAGGCAGAAGTCAATTGGTGAACTACGACTGGAGGGAGCGCACATTGGGAGAACCGCAGCTCCGATGGATCTTCTGTCCGATTAAATCGGACCGTCAGCTCACACATACACGACTTCTAACACACTACTTACATGCACCTCACTTTTCACCTGACTGGTACCCTGTGGTCAACCCTACCTCCTGAAATAGATAAGTGCTTGCTTATTTGTCAGCCGTTTTTTTTTGAACATTTATCCATAGTCCGTTGAGCCCCGTCCTCTGTAGCCCGTTGATGGGATTAGTCATGGGCCCTAGTCCAGTCAACCTTTGTCGGGGCAACTCAGGGCGTGAACAGTCACTTGACTTATAATCATCTCTGTTATTCTATACGGCTCTTACAGCTTCATCTGACAGAGGGTCTTTCAGGCCGCGGGGTATTTAAAAAAAATTAAAGGCAATGATGATGAAGATGGTTTATGATTTGGTATTGTTACCTATCATCATGTACCCTCTGTTGAAGTTGTTTGAGCTATCTAACCGCTGTCCTAGTGGGGAAGTGCGAACCCTCGCCGCCAGGTACGCGGGTGTAAGGTGTGCTGGAGCGCGTCGCGCCCGCCTACGGGTGCGACCCGCCCCATCCTACATGTGCTTGACCCATTTGGTGTGGGTGTAGTGTCAATATTGGATGTGCCTGCGACGTTTGGGTCGACACGGGATCGAGCGAGCGTGACTTGGCCTATAGTGCTGTTGTCACTGCCATAGTGTTCACTTGGCCTATAGTGCTATTGTAGGTGTATAGTCACCATCAGGTGAGCCGCATGCTCGTTTGCCCCCTCTTCTATAAAAAGAAGGTGGTTGTTGTCACTGCCAATGTCTGTGACACTGCAGGGGTATTCGTTATTATTCTTATGGAACAATTATTAAAACTTTGTGTTTTTATAAAGATGCACAAATGAATAATTTACTACTGTGTAAATTATACCCAAAATGTTCGAAATATAAATGAATGAATAAGATTTTTGTTTCAAACGTTTCAAGGAAAAATTTAGGAAAAAAAAGATTATCCTTTAATTCTTGCAAGGAGAATATGCAGCAGTGTTGACGGAGATTATAAGACTAGGAAGGCGTTTGTTACTTTGTTAGGTAAGCGTACTTTATATCAAACATACCAAGTTGTGGGTGACAAACAAGCACACAGTCTCCACCTGACATAATACCGACTTTGTTGGTGGCCTGAAGTCGCCAAATGAAACTTTTATTTTATTTTTATATACCTTTATTAATTCTTGAAACAAATATTATATATTTTTACGTTTAAATAAAAATAGTAAAATAATTATTAAAAAAATGTAATTTTTAGGGTTCCGTAGACAAATGGCAAAAAACGGAACCCTTATGGATTCGTCATGTCTGTTTGTCTGTCCGTCCGTATGTCATAGCTACTTTTTTCCGAAACTATAAGAACTATGCTGTTGAAACTTTGTAGATGTATTCTGTGAACCGCATTAAGATTTTCACACAAAAATAGAAAAAAAAAGAAAATTTTGGGTGTTCCCCATACTTAGAACTGAAAACTCAAGTGCTTTAATGTTTTTGTTCTTTATTTCTATATTACACATTAGCTCACTTTTTAAATCGTATCTGAAGGAAGACCGACCATTTTGAAAGTGTCACTGAAAACTTACCCATGAGTCATACATTGCTTAAATGGCATTGAATATCAAATATTATAGTCTTATTTATTATACCTACTACCTATTATTAACTAACAAAAAGTAATTATTACTACTTATTATATAGCGACAATGCGATGTTATCTTTTATTTTTAAAACATCGTCACGTGATGATGTGATCAGTATGGTCGTAAGTATGTAATGAATATATACGGATATAAAGCTCAACCAGAAAAATAAAAATCTTTGCTATATTTTATATATTATGCATAATTTTCAAAAAAGAATTCTAAAAATCGTCTCGATATCTAGGCAGAAAACTTTGAACATCTTGTCCCTAATAAAGATTGGATTTGGCACAAAACCATTATTTCAAGGGATTCTTTGTTTGTTTCCTGTGAAATTATGCAAATGTGTGACTAGTTTTCTCACAGATTGGATCAACATAGTCGTAGTAGACGATGCATGCTCGGACTAAGCCTTTATCTGCTGGTGTTCCACAAAGTCGTTTCGTTTTCACGTATTAGAAAGGGGAAAAATCTCAAACAAGTATGTAGATAATATCTGAAATATGCCTCGAAATTTTAAGTCTCAACTTCAACATCTAGAATTGTATCACACTTTGTTTCTTCAGCAATTCATTGATTACTATGCAGATGACAGCTTAAAGACAAAGGTTTGTGTGCTTACCATTTGTTGTAAAAAATCTGTCGTATCTACTTATTTTAACCTCTTCAGACCGTAGGTACTCATACGAGGACCTTAGCATTTTTAGAATTGCAACAGTTAGCGACATCGTGTGACAACTGTCAATACTAATGAAAGTCGATAAAGGATACAGAGCTTCTATCTAAACCGATAGATGGCTTTTAGACAATAGTTTTGACACGTAAAATTAAGTTTGAAATTGTTCGTTTGAAAATTTTCCGTAGGTCTGTCACGTTCGAACTTTGAAAATCAATATAAAATTATTTTGTTTGCTTCAAGTCGAAAGTGTTGTAGTTTTGTATAGCTGAATAACTAAATTTATGTTTGAAAGGGTGAGTTTTTGTTTCTGTTTGTTTTTTTTGTATCAAAATTCGAATTTTTTTGCTGTTCCACGTATGTGGACCTCAGGATTTAACGTTGGTTTTAATAGCATATTACTATTTTTCAGTTCTATCATGAATGACCGGGATATTGAGGATATTCTCAATAAAAGTGACTTTGACTTCTCTGGCAATGAAGATGACAATGATTACTTGCCTCCAGAAGTGGTAAGGGCTCTTCATCAGTCCGACGATTCAGAAGAAGATGAAGAAGAAAATTTGACAGAAGCGGAACCTGGAAGGTCAGCACCGTTGTTTTGGCGTACAAAAGAAATGCGTTGCCGTGGACCAGACATCGCAGATGATGAGCTCGTAGCGCAGGGTACTTCAGAGATGAACATTTTGTATTGTTTTTTTGAGTACTTGGGAACAGAATTCTGGGAAATGGTGGCTGAACAAAGTAACATTTATTCTGCTCAAAAACGTGATCTAAAATCATTGAAAACAAACTCCATTGAGATTATTCATTTTGCGGGTATGCAATTATTGATGGGTACACTTAAATACCCCCAAGGAAAACTTTATTGGACTAGAGATTTATGTGTGCCTATTATCAGGGATACCATGCCTCGGGACCGATTTTTTGAACTTCGCAATTATCTCCACTTCGTAGACCTGAACTGTCCAGATACTAACGACAAACTATGGAAAATAAGGCCAATAATTAATCCAATTTTAAAGAAATGCCACAGTTTGCCTCGTTCTAAACACATGTCCATAGACGAGCAAATGATACCATTTGCAGGGCGATGTGAGTACCGTCAGTACGTTCCAAGTAAACCTAATCCACTTGGACTTAAAAATTTTGTACTCGCTGCCCGAGATGGAATAGTGTTAGATTTCGAAATATATGTTGGTAAAGACACCATATCACCAGAAATTATGAAAAATTTGGGACTAGGAGGCGGCATTGTGCAAACTCTTTGCCGCACCATTGAAAGCAGTTGTGTTCTTTACACCGATAGGTTTTTTACTAGTTTAAAACTGGCCGAGCATCTTATTGCAAATAATAATCAAATATTTCTAACTGGAACTGTTATGACAAATAGAATTGGCCCAGTATCTACGAAATTGAAGCCAGACAAGGAGTTGCAGAGAGGGGCCTGGGATGAAAAAGTCCGAAATGATGATAACATATGTATCGTGAAATGGAAAGACACAAAAGCGGTAACATTGCTATCTACATGTACAGGAGGTGAGCCAGCAACTACGTGCCAGCGTTGGTGTAAGGTTAGAAAAGAAAAGATAGATGTGACACAGCCAGCTGTTGTAAAAACCTACAACACTTGCATGGGCGGAATAGACTTGTGTGATCGGCTCATTGCATATTATCGGAGCTCAATGCGCACAAAAAAATGGACAGTTAGAACGTTTTGTCACTTTCTCGACCTTGTGGTTGTCAATTGCTGGTTGATGTACATGCGTTGTTGCAAAGTTGAAAATGTGGAAAGCAAGCATAAGCTGGGATTGCTTCAATACCGCTTGAATTTGGCTAAAGCCTTGATGAAGTATGACGGTGGTAGAGTGGACCCAAATTTTATGCGTCCTGGCTCCAGATCTCAATCTAGCCCTGGCCCCTCGGCAGTTTCCAACTCAAAAATCACGGACGTGGGCTGTGATGAGCCTCCTGCAAAAAAAAATCGAGCGGTTGTACCCCATCCGCTACCTGAAACAAGGCTGGATAATGTGGGCCACCTGCCACGATTCATTGATTCCAAGAACGCATCCAAATGTCGCCATCCGACATGTTCATCCAAATGCCGCACTATGTGTGTAAAATGTCATGTTTTTTTATGTATATTAAAAAATAACTGTTTCGAGAGTTACCATTCTAATAAGAACTTTGGACCGCATTAAGACCCAAGGTCCACATATGTGGAACAACTTTTTTTTATATTAATAATAATAATAAAATTTTTTAAAAAAATTATAGTTTTTATTTTGACCCCAGTAAGTATAAAAAACGCAAAAAGTTACTTATACATAAGTCCCCTCTAGTTCAGGTCTGAAGAGGTTAAAGGCACTACCCTCATTTCTTCAGCATCAGTATCATTAGAGTCTAAGTAACATTCAGTTCGGCGGTCACATGGAACTGGTCGTGTTTATTATTGAGCAGGACAGTAGTTTACGTCGGTCAACCGTTTTCACGATTTACAGGGCGCAAGTTCGACATCACATGCAATATTGTACTTATCTTTAGGCCAGGGCACCCTAGCCTCACCTTCTTTCACGTTAACCACTCTAGCGAAAAAGTTGAAACGTCTTTTCTTATTGACTTGAGCCACTGGTTTTGCGAAGAGACTGTACTTCTCTCGATTATTTTATCGCAGTGTACCAGGAGCAGTGCTCTAAAGAATTGTTTTACAAAAACTGTACGACCAACATGAGATAGTTGTGGAACAGTTAGTGTGAATATGACTATTATTAATTTATCACTATGTAAAAAAGCAGCATTTTTATTTTTCTAGTCAGGCTTTTTCAAATGAAATTACAGAAATATCCAAATTATGTAACCTTATTTCCATATTCTTTTTTACATAAACATTCTTTCCGTAAAGGTATTATGATATTGTGATATGATATTATGATATTATATTATGACCAAACCGTTTGCTTCATCATTCATCATATCCTTCTATCCGATTACAATGTGGGCGTCTTCAAGACAAAGAGTGAATAGGCTTTTGCAATGCGCTGTACTATCTTCGGCTGCATCTCCACCTACCTTCGGGTAGGATAGTAGTTAAGCACTGTCTAGTTAAATACAAAAATAAGTTTTCCTACTCTTCAGTTTAGTAAAAAAATATATTATTTAGTTTTGAAATCACTCAATAAACATATATTAGGTACCTATTTCTTTTAATTTCTCACACGACACAAACATTAAAATAAAACAATCTACGTCTTAATATCTATCTATCTATATATGCAATTTGCTCCGCCTTAGCAAAGGAATATCATAAATGCTTTGGAATCAAGGAAGATGATCACACAAAATACAACAACTGCATTAATTATTCTACAACTCAGTGTGGCGCGCGAGGATTTTGCTCTCTAGATCTGCGTGCATCTTTTCGACCTTCCTGGCGTGCTTCTTGATCTGCTGCTGCTGGTCCGCGAACATGTCCATCTTGTCACCAGCCGCAGCCACCTGACACATCAAATACTTTGATATCAAACGCAAAATGCTATAAAAGGTTACTATAGTGAATGTGATATGGTGATATTATACAGGGTTATTTTGCAATAACCGGCCAAATTTGCAGGGAAGGTTCAGAATAAGTAATATAGGCAAATGGTGAAGAAATTAATTTTAAAAAAAAATCTCAATAATTCTGTCCTTTTTATCTATTAAATCCAAAATGTGTGGTAATATACTATTTTAATTACTGCGCACGCACACATTCGTAAGGGTCGATCGATAGACAAAAGCGTTGTTGCCCATATATCACATTCAATTTGGGATCATTTCAAATAAAAGTACAAAGCCTTATTTAAACGAAATATCATTATATATTAAAAACGGTATATGGCTACTCAGAAAAATAACCCTGTACAACAAGCAAATACAAAATGAAATAAAAATAGGTACCATAAAGCACTAAAAATTAAGAAGTTATGATGCATTTAACTCCATTTTTTTTATGGGTTGAAATAAGGTAGAAGAAGAAAATATTATCACCAAATGAAAACAGTTTCATTACTAGGAACAATGTTGCAGAAATAATCATGAGGAAAATGAGCGAAACAATACCATTTAAGGCTTAAAAATATCCATATTTTTTTTGTTTACTAAGTGTAGTGGTAAGATTATTTTTAATACAGTTGTTGAAAAAGTGGCGTGTTGCAGGGACGTTTAGCGTTCGGGATGTGGCCTACTACATACTCGTGCTTTTTATTTACTTTTTCCGAACTCGTGCGTTCTCTTTCCCAACTGTCAAAATAATGTCTATTATAAAGAAAAAACCAACCACGAAGTTTTTACTAAAAAAAATTCATAGAAGTTTTTATGATTCATGCAAATATTTCTAAAAAGAAGCTACTAATTTGTTTCAATATCAGATTTAATGATTTGAATCAATGAGTTAGGTTTCATTTCATTTCATCTCATTAAATTTAATTTTGATTTCATATCAATAAAAAAAAACTACTGAAGACTTGGCTGTATATGGGCATAGTTCCCCCCTTTGCCTACCCAGAGTGGGTGAAGAAAACAAAAAAAATCTCTGCTTATATCTTTTACGGTTGGTGCCATTTTCTAGAAATGTTCTTTATTAAATTGCTTAATTTTTTCGCAACTGTATTAAAAATAGTTGTTCAGTACACGTGCGGAACCGTCATTGCAACTTGTTCCGACTGTCAACCCTCACCTTCGGCTGCGCCTCGTCTCGGGTAGACTTTATTTTTCGGAACTCTTTGCAATGACAGGCTTTCCGCACTCGTAATGAAATATACTATTTCTGCTATACTTATTTCTGCCACCAAGCAGCAGTGCGTGCCGTTACCGCACAGCCTATTAAAGTCCACTGCTGGACCTAGGCAGCCCTCAAAGATTGTCTCACAGGGGAAATATTTGCTACAGTTGCCACACTTGACAAGCCTTATAGTCCTTATTAGGAAGACGTTGTTGGCCATCTTTTTTTTATAGGATAAGGGTGACAAACGAGCACACAGTCCACCTGATGGTAAGTGGTTGCTGCGGCCCATAGACATCTACATCTATCCTCTATTACAAATCAAAATGTAGATGCGTTGTCACCCGCGAGGACTAAGATGGAATGTCTCATTTCCAGTAAAAAGGGCCTCCGGCCACCTGCACTCACCAAGCGAAACGCAGAGATAAACCCCGGTTCGAGCCGGCCCAGCCGTGGGACAGCAAAAGCTGCCGCGTGGCTCTACCACTGTTCAATCTCCCGATTTGTTTCTCTTTGTCGCCTCTTACGACACCCAAGGGACCGATATGGGGTAGTGGATATGTACACCGCCACTACACTGTTAGCAATGCGTGCACTTCTCTATAAATCCCGCCTGAAGGGTATACAGGACCAAAATTATTACAAGGTGTGAGATATTTCATCTTAGTCCTCAGACGTGCACGCATCTTAGTTCGCAACGCAAACACATTAGGTTCGTTTGCAACTAGGCATGTATCCATGGGCTGCAATAGCCACTTACCATCAGGTGGACTGTAAGGCGAGAACAAAAAATATTATTTCACATCTTTGAACGACGTAGATCCATACAAATAAGCATAGCTGCCATCCCCATCTCTGTAAAAAGCTACACTGTTACAGTCGGTAATATTCTAATTTGTAACAATCACTGCTGTGTACAGCGTACCATAGTAAGGGAATTCATCATCCAATTTCGTCCCTTGGGTGTCAAGAGGCGACTATAGGAAATGCTAAAGGTCTTATAGTTTCGAAAAGATGGCGGCATAAATCTTTATACGTCAGGCTTAAAATACTTTGATCTACGACGCGGAGCAGCGGCAACAATGCAAGACGTGTGATACTGCGACCGTCAATAATCCGCCTGTCAAGCGTAATGATATAAACATTTTGTATTATTTAATATTGCGTCAAACTTACAATGGCTAATATTATATAATAACCGAGCAAGTGATTGTTTCATATTAATTCTATTGTTAATTGGATTGGTTGAAATGATCGAAACATTTCGATTTTTATTACTTCGTAATATAATTTTGAAAATAATTTTATTTTTATATCATCATCATTACAGCCCTTCACAAATCCACTGCTGAACATAGGACTTCCAAGGAACGCACAAAGCACTTTCCTGAGCCACCTGCATCCATCCACTTCCTGAGTCTTACCAGGTCGTCATATCCGTTAATATTTTTATATATGTAACAAGAATTACTTTTGTTTACAAAAACAAATGAAACACCATATAATTTTTATTCCTTTATCGATGATGTCTAGTACTGCGGTCGTCAATCTGCCAAGCGTGACTTAGTCTTTTAATTAATTAATTAGTAAGTTACTTCCAATCAGGAATACAGAACTATCAGTGTAATACTAAAGTGCACCACTCATAAACATCTTAAGTCATTATGGAAATAAATCAAATAAATACTGAAATAGACAAATCCAACTGTTATGAATCCTTTATGTGCTCTCCGCAAGAATGCGCACTGCACACTGATCCAAACCGTGAACAAATAAAAATCCTTCACGTTAACATCAGGAGCATTAACCAAAATTTTGATGAACTTTGTATCTTCTTAAATATGATAAATATAAAAGTGGATATAATAATATTAACAGAATGCTGGCTTAGTAAAGTTGTCAATGTCCCGGTCCTACAAGGCTTTAATTCTCACTGTTCCAATTGGCACAATCAGAACGATGGTGTCATTATGTTTATTAGAGAAGATATGAAATGCAAAGTATCTGTCGTAAATCTAACAGACGCTAGCTGCCTGAAAATCTCCTTTAAAAATGGTTTAGCTATTTTAGGTGTATACAGATCTCCTTCTGTTAAAAGTATCGATAATTTTCTCAACTCACTAAATAATTTGCTACTATCTTTAGCGTCATACAAAACAATAACTCTCATTGGAGATATTAATATCAACATCCTCTCTGATAAACGTGAGCCCAAACCCGACCCTTATTTGAATCTCCTGGCATCACACGGGCTATTAACCGCACATTCGTTCATCACCCATGATGATGCTTGCCTTGATCACGTTATGATGAAAACCAACCTTAAGACAACCACCATCGTGTCACATTTCAAATTCACCGATCACAATCCTATCCTTACATTCATAGGTCAACGTCAACATACAGCATATCAAAAAACTCGGATACATGTCAATATAAAAA